CAACATGCTACTGTTATTGTAGTTAGGAGGAGACAAAGGCACAACAAAAGAAGGCATAAAGATCACGTTTTTCCCCTCGTGTTTACATGTTTCAAATGACAGAAAAATAAATGGCATGCATTTATTTTTTCATTTGATTCAATATTCTAATCGTTAAGGAAGAGAAACACCATGATTAAACTACAGGCTATTGTTGCCATAGCCTACAGCCAAAGAAAACTGAACATTCACAGCCTCTGAATTCTATAGAATTTCAACATTGACGTTTATTTCTTCCTATTTCCCTCTTTTCGCCAACATTACATTTTAAACTGGGGATTTCCTTTTTCTCGGGTCGCGCGTCTCTCCCCCAGCTCGCCCCCTCTGTTGCGCTCCTCTCCATAATGCGCGCGTCTCCTCCCTCTACAGCCCGCTGCTGCTACTACTCTGTAGGACGCTTTGATTGGGGGACCTCACCACTGTTTGTACCCCCGTCTTCGATATCTCTTTCCAGGCATTTATATCCGATCAGACACAGCGCTGGCCAGCTGTCTGGTGCTTAACAACGGCGAGTGTAGAGCATCCGTGCCACAGAGGAGACAGCTCGCACCTCCTGCGCAGTGTATGACACTTCATTCTTAAGATTAAGGGAAGAAAAGAGAGGCCCTGTTTAATGCCGAGGTTTTCTTAACCAAAATCTTCTTTGTAATATTCAGATTTATATCCTATAACTCGAAAGTATTGTGCGTTTATTTGCCTCTCTCACTGATACCTATTTTGCGCTTGCAGTCATCCTGCTTTCCGTCCAAACTCTCCATGACTTAAACCAGTAGAACACGCAAAAGCTTAACTTAAATAGTACCGTCCCCACAAGGTTTGCACCTGTTGTCATTCCCGCAAATTTTCTTAGTAGATCACCTGCATAACGGCCAGCAACCAAACGTGCAAACTTTTGGAGTGAACACGCAATTTAGTACTCTTTAATTGGGAGCTTAGTAAATCTGGCCCTTAATGTTCTTAAAACTATATTTTCCTTTAATTGGAATCTTGCATTAAGTATTGCAGCCTCTCAGAGCATCTTGCTTGCTTCCCTTCATTTTGTGTTTATTGTTACAGTTGTTTATTGATGACCTTTTCAACACCATTTTGTAACAGGAAAACACACCCGACACTTTCTGGGTGTGGTTCGATGGCATCTTGGTGATGGTGAAAACTTACCTTGAAGACCTGTGGAGGGATGGGTATGTTTTCTCAACATATTCTGATTCAGTGCAGAGTGCATCAGCTCCTGCCTTTCTACTCGGGAGTAATATGTGTTTTAAATGAGACTTTCTTTCTGCACTGTAGCCTAATCATGGGTTTTGTGAGTAAAGGCAAAGAGAAGTCCCTCCTTAAGAAAAAACAGAGAGGCACATTCTTGTTGCGCTTCAGTGAAAGTGTCATTGGAGGAATCACATTCTCTTGGGTTGAGACCACCATGACTGGTGAGTTTTTTATTTTATTTCATAATGCTTCCAAAAATATTTTTGTATTGTTGAAACGTTAGGCTGACACAATAAAAGCTTGCTGTTGTATAGTTTCACTCACTTTTTTTTAAACAACACTCATCCTCTGTCTATTCTAGGTGAGCCTGATGTTAAGACAGTCCAGCCCTTCACCAAAACTGACCTTTCCCAGATCCCCTTCCATGAAATCATCAGGAATTTCCAAATCTTTGAAGCAGACAATGTCCCAGAAAGTCCTCTGCTTTACCTTTATCCTGACACAGCTAGGGACGAGGCTTTCGCAAAATACTATTCTGAGATGAGTGGAGGTAAAGTACTCTTCTTTTCATTTATGTCTTTATTTGAAATTTTGTAGAAAGAAAAACTCTTTACTTATGTGAAGTTGCACCATACTGTCTTTTTTCTGGCAAGTTAGTCACAATAAAATTACTTTCTTTCAGATAACAGTCCTTACATAAAGTACATCAAAACCAAGCTGGTGTTTGTTTCAAAGGAGTAAGTATTTTCACAGTTTCAGTTTCACATATGCTATTCATACAGAAACATCAACTTGGTAAACAAATTACCCGAAAAAGAAGTGTATCCAAGGCCTTTAATGTTATGAGCAACTGGTTGTAATGACAATGTGTTATTGGTCATGTAGGAACGCCCTGGAGGCTAGGTCACCTATGCACTCTGACATGGCACAGGGTGAAGGCCTGGAGCCAATGAAAGGCCTGTTTGGGGAGGCAGTGGGTGAGTCCTGGCTCTCCTTGCTGTCCCATCTAGCTGAAAACCTTAATCAAACAAATCGCTCTCCATTTGAGTTCCGCGTTACCATCCATGATTTTTCCTTGTGGTGTCAGAAATCAATGGTGATTGTGTTTAGATAGATGCCAGGCAGCAGCTATAACCTTCTTTCATCTTCTGAGGCTGTTGGCTACATCTACTCAACTTCATCTCAGGTGTGGAAGGGATTGGATTGAGCAAAACTTTTACTAACACATTAGTGTGTACATTAGTGGGTGTTTCAAAGCTTTCTGATTCTATCTGCTATGCTTGCACACTTTGCTTTGTGAGTGTATTTAAATCACTTAAAGACACTAAATGTAAAACAGTAAAAAGCTATAGGGTAAGCCACTCAACTTTCAATGATAATGAAATGAAATCCTATATTTTATAACTTATAATATTATTCATCTTACATCATTATGGAAGTTATTCTATAAGTATTGTAAATTTGAAGGTTCGGTTGTAATAACATTTTCTTTCCAGTGGTTCTATTCCAGTCAAAGCAAATATGTATTTTTTTTTCATGGCCTTTAAAAACATGCATCAAAACCTTTAAATTTATTTAACATTCCAGTAAAACTGTAGATCCACTGCCTGCCAGTCCTTCTATCATTTCTGTTAAAGCCAAAATTGAGAAATGGTTGGACACTTTTTAAATAATTATAATTCTTGTAAAAAAAAAAAGACATTTTGAAAAATGTGTTAATGTATTAGATTTTTAATTTTGCAGAGTGATAATATCAATAGTACTCTCATTTCTGTCTAGTAGATATAAGGTCACAACATGCAGCAGCTTAGCTTAGCCCTGTAGCTGAGCAAGACTTAAATACTGTATCTGCCAACCATTTGAAGTAGTCCAAAGCTATTAACCTGTAGATGATCAATTCTAAAAAAGAAAAAAAGAAAGATTAGTCGCTTTTAGATTCATTTTTATATGATGAATTCATGAAAGTACAGCTTGTTAGTTATTAAGATGAAGAGGTCCTCAAATGTGTTTTTAAAGTGTATGAGAGGCATAAACAAAGACAGAAAATATAATATAACAGAAATGTGTTTGAGTAACCACAATTTAAGAAGCTGATGAAAAAGTACCACATGCATATCTCTTTCTCACAATCAAGCCCAATGTGCCTATATGTTTCTACTTCCTCAGCTCGCTTCCTCATTTATCCAGTTGCATGACAAACATAGTGTTGTCACTCATATACTCAGTAAAAGCAGTACCAGAACTATACAACCAAGCCATGCAAGCAGAAACAGTAATTATTTCATTTGTCCCTTTCTCTCCTCTTAGAAGCAAGCGGGGATCATCATCCACTGAATTCACCCCTGGCTTATCACCCTGATCCCATGCTGTCTGGCTCTGTTCCACCCCAAGAAGAAGATTTACTGCTGTATCTCAACAACCCCAACCTCTTTGGTGACCCTGACATCTTGCAAGATGAGCCCGATTTTCCTCTTCAAGAATTACACTGCCTGCCAATACAATCGATTTTCCAATGAGCCTTTTTGTTTTGGCATATAGGTTAAACCACTATCATGTATCCATCATGCATCGCCAGCTGTACTCTAGCTTCTTGCATTACATCAATATCACAAATTGTTGCACCATAGCAGAGTAGAGGCAACATCATACTTAACTTTGAATACTGTTTGAAAGCGATTTACATGACAGCCTCTGAATTGTGCACTTTGGACTTATCAGAAATTGGCAATTTTAATGTCTTATGATCAAGTCATTGGGACCATTTAAACACAGAAAGGAGAGATTATAAAATTAACTGGACTCATTCACTAGTGTCCCAGGCACCTTAACACACCCCTTTATTAGTATCCATAGATACAATTTGTTTTTTGAGGGCTGTTGTCAAGATTAGACATAAAATGAATTTATGTACTGAAAAAAGCTTATATAATGTATTTTAGAGAATATTAATTAGGCTGCACATTTATCAACTATATTTTAATGTCAGAGTCGTTCAATGGTTGTGTTTCTGGTGAAAACCCTTTGAAGAACTACTTAAAACGTATTTTATATTAACCTGCTCCTTTACAAAAAACAATGGCCTACATGCTTTCTCAATAAAGACGATATAGCTTTGTATATGTGTCAATAACTGGATGTCTTACATGATTTATGAGAGATGTTTTTGTAACAGGTCAAAGATCATAGAAGCTTAAAAAAAGGCTGATAGTTCAGACTTGCTTCAAGTCTCAAATACTGTAATCAAATTAAACCAAATTCAGAGAAGCTACGGAGATACATGTATCCAACATTTTAAAATTGACTTTTGTTTATCACGTCATTTATTATGTTTAGTAGCTCATTATTGGTCGTATTCATCGACCACGTGGTCATGTAGCATCACGTCAGTCGCTTGTTTAAAGTGAAACACAGACAGGTATCATACAACTCGATAGTTTTCTCAAGGAGTTACGATGAAGTCCGATGAATACTTTACTAATATTCGGCAAATGGCCAAAAACAAAACCTTAATGTTGCGTTTAAACTTTAAGTAAACTATGGCTAATATGTCAATCAAGCTAGCTTTTGTGGGTACACGCTGTTTGAAAAAGGTGGAAACTCAGTTTGATTGTCCGTCCGTGTTCTCATGGATTCTGGACTGAAGCAGCTTTAATACAATGTAAACTAAATGTATTGGTGAAAAATGAATTAGCTTTTTTTCCTCAAAACTAACAATGAACGAAGATTGTATTCTTGTTTTTTCCCCATGGTGGCTTTTATTTTATTTTTGTGGGCGTGGGGAGTTGTGCAGGACTGGAACATCCTGTGATAATTTGTTGTTGTTTCCTCTATTGTGAAAGAAGTGGGGTAGACCTAGGATTCGGGGTCATACCTTTTTACAGTTTTAAAATTTAAATCATGTCTAGTTTTAAGTTAAAATTTGGACTTCTCAGAATTAGGCATAATTTGGACTTAAATGTCCTGTGGTCTGTTGCACCAGCTATTATTACTATATGTGTAAGTTTTAGTCTGTCTTAAGCAGCCTAACAAAAAAGTCCGACCAGCTTGTGCATTACATATCACTCTTCAATGACTTTTTAGTAGTTGCTTTAACATAAATGCTAAAGAAACTAAGGATTTGAACTGTCATTGTACAACTCTAATGTTGTTAGGAAACAAAATGGGAGGTTGTGTTACAGTTGTATAAAAAAAACGTAATTTAAGAATAGATCTGATCTTCTGATTTCTAGGGATCTTAAATGATGGGAAACTAAAAGATCACATTTGTTTTGTCTGCAGTAAAATTAAAAAACTCTTGGAATTATTGCTTTTTTTCCCCCCATTGTTCTCGTATTCTTACGTTATATTATAGCCTAATATTTAATTATCTCACTTACTGAATGAGTCATCATTCAGTAAGGCAACTTTCTCCAAGTCCTGTGATGCTATCCTCACTTTTTTTGAAGTGTGACAGTGTGACTATTTCTGATATTAATATTCTTCAAATATGTACCTTTAGTTTTAAAGTGAAATACATGATGACATGTCAGAAAGCTTTAAAACATTTTTTATTTGTAATTATCAAGTTTACTACTATTCAACAAGACAAATTGATAACCTGCACCACTACCTACAAATGTATCATACATCAGATTCATATATATATATTTTTTTTAATGCCACAAAGGGCCAGTGGAACGTGCGATCAGCTGGCCTGGAGTCTTTTAATAGAGTCGCTAACTGCAGACTTAAACTTCCTTTTGAGGTTATTTACCATCATGCACGAGTTGGCAATATGAGATTACAATATTTTAAAATAAATATCTCGTTTATTTTGGGATGAATTTTAGAGTTGGATTTTGAGTGATAATATGCCAACCTGGATTTATTATTATATCAGATTTGGTTTTGTAATGGAGGAAAATTTGAATTCAATAGCTTAAACGTACTTGAAAAGTATTTTTTGCTAAAATATACATTTTTAAAAGTTACCCCAATATTTACATCTCTCTACAAGAATGCTACAATCTAAAAATGCCTTGTACCTTCCTGAATGCCTTTCTAGTCTTTCAATTGCTTGAAAACTTGGTAGGTGTAAGACCAACATAACTTGCAGAAAAATCAGGATTGCAGATGCCATCTCCAGCGCAAGAGACAGGTGCATGGTGCAATAGCTTTAGTGAAAAGCATGTGATAGGCCTGTCGAAACTGTCGGTTCATGACAGCATAGAGTACCGGGTTAATACAGCTGTTGAGCCACGTAAGGTTTGCACTGAGCATGTGCAATACCTTGGGTGCACTGTTATGTTTGTCTGCTATGTTTAGCAAAAGAAAAGGGACAAAGCAGAATGCAAAACACAGAAAAACAGTAAAGCACATTCGTGTCACATATTTAAATTCGCGATCATCTCCTGAAGATGCTGAGTTGTAAGAAGATGCTTGAGTTGTTAGGGTTTTTGTGGCAGGGACAATGTGAGAGGAAGACCTTTTGGCTGCTGATGAAACTGGGGCCTTGGAAGAGCTCTTATTAACGTTGTCATCCTTATTTTGGGTTTGTTCTTCTTGGTTGCTCAGTTCACAGCTAGATGTGTTGACAATACCAGTCTCTACATCACTGTCATCAGTCCCCTGTGATGAAGGAGCTGCTTTCCTTCTAGATGACCTTCGGCTGAATCTGTAGCGGACCAGAGCTTGCGATGCAATCATGACATGTCTGTAAATGAGGAGGTAGAATACGCCAACACAGCCCAAACCAACAAAGAAGTAGACAAAAAGCAGGATGGTGGTGTAGGGTCGACCCCTGGTCCGATGGAAGCTGCATGTGCACACTTGTGGCACAAACACGTAAACATGCCAGAGTGGGCCAAAGCTGGCAAGACCTAGTGCCCACACTGACATCAGGAGTAAAATAAGACCATGGTTGGAGAAGATACGGTCAAACATGGCCCTTTTTGCAACCAGGAGATATCTGCTCAATGCTACCAAGCAAAGGGTGATGATGGACACAGAGTTGGAGAGGAAAAGGAGCAGTCCAAAGATGCTGCACCAGAGCTGACCACTGCGCCACCTGAGGTGTAAATACGAGTCAACTGACATAGGCTGCAGTATGGTGCAGTATAGGAGGTCAGCTACAGCCAGGTTGATGATGAGTGCATTAAAGCGAGTCCTCAGACGTGGGTCTAAGGTGAAGGCTAGAATGGTCATCAGGTTCCCTAACGTACCGATGATGGTCACAGCACATCCCCACAGCACAGCAAAGTATCGGTAACCTACGACCGATGGACTGTAGCAGGAGAAGAGGTCTTCCTCTGTTTGGTTTGTGTGGTTCATCAGCATTCTATTGCCTAAGAGGAATCAAACCGCAGATAAACATTTCTGTAATTTGATGTATTTCTCGTAGTTACATTTAAACAGAAAACTAGTCCACCCCCCTTCATATTGTGGTTAGCAGTGCCACAGGTGACAGTTGGTCACCCATGTAATTTGGTTACAGTTGGTCTCGATAAAACCACTAATTCTTTTACAAAGACTTTTGTATGGATAATATGTTCACGCCACTGAGACGAATTATTGGTAAAGATGATTACTTTTTACTTTTTGAAGTAAAAAAATAAATAGAATAAAGGCAGAATCAAAAATTTGTTAAGCAATTTAAAAAACATTTTTCACGTTAAAATAAAGGTGTTTTTTAATATTTGAGGTGAATAGAAGATCGAAAAATATATTCAATGCTGCTCACCTTAAATCTTCTGAATTTGCTGGTTCTCTGCTGCCTTCAACTTGTTGATGTCATAGCAGTATAAACGTCTGCTGTGATCTGATCTGCTTTGCTGAATGCGTGACTTCCTCCTGCTATTACATTTCATGTGCTTCTCCGTGTTGCATTAGTAATCTTTGCATAATGTGAGGTTTTCACACCCATATGTGTTCACTTCCTTATTTGAAGTGAAGGAACCATGAAACTTTGTTTTAGTGTGCTTAATGTAATAAATAATTGCGAGATAAATGGCTTTAATAGGGAAATATAACCAAGTAGTTATATTGCATGCTGCCTGCAGGCATTTTGGGGACTGTCCAAACAAAAAAGGATGTAACCTCAGTTAATGTCATAGCTTACTAAGTACTAGGTTTAACTTGTGCCCAATATTGCTTGCAATGGTTCTGTGTATTGTATTAAAAATAATTCTGCTTAATGTAACTATAGGTGTTTATATTACGTAATCCCAATTTTATATTTATCAAGATAACCTACGTTTTAGTTGGTTTGATCAAAGGATAAACAAATCTACACCATGTGAACGTTATTTTTACCAGCCTACTTTATTATCTAAGAGTTTAGCTTTAAACTTTTCAATTCCTGTGACACATTAATGAAATTTTGTCTTAGAGGTTAAATCAGATGAATTTGTAAATGCTATAGATTTTCACTAAATTCCAAGCTTAAAAGAGTCTGAATCCGAAACTGCTAGCAGAAAAAGCTCTGATCTGAAAACTAGGAAGCTATCTATGACGCTTCAACCACAGAACCAAATATAGCAAACACCCTTTGCTATATTTCCTCTGCTCATCTGCCAAATGCAACATGTGCTACAAACAAATCTCTGTCATTCATGGGAACAGGAAAAGACACCGCAATAGACAACGCAATCTTATAACTTGTCTCTGCTTAAGAAAGCCTCTTCTCCCCACCCTTCATTTACTTTTGGCCTCTGGAACTGTCAATCTGCTGTGAATAAAACTGAATTCATCCAAGCACTTGCAAAAATGTCAGACATCCAGGCACTTGCCCTTACTGAACTTTTATCCGCATTTCTAATATCTGGAAATTCAATAAACTCTTCCCACTGAGCAACAACTCCTCATTTGTCTATCACACAATCATGGTTACTGCTCCTGTTAAAATGTACATTGCCATCATTTACCACCCACCAGGGTGTAATCTGAATGATTTTGTTGTGGAACTGGACATGCTACTCTCAGAAATCCCTGAGGATGGAACACCACTGATTGTCATGGGAACATATACTGATAAAGCCCAGGCAACAGACTTCCTTTGCTGCCATGCCTGCCGATAAAGTATTTACCGCACTCTCTACAGATGAGGCTACAGACTCACTCTGCTCCACACTAACCTCATCTCTGAACAAACTCTGACCCTCTAGTGTCCAAACCCGCTCGCAAAACCTACTCTAGTCCATGGCTCACTGAAGAGAAAATGACAAATATCCAAACATTCCGCTGACCTCAATGACTATAAGCAAAGACTTGTCTCTTTTTCCTCCAGCCTGAAAATGGCCAAGACAACATATTATCAGAACAAGATATGCAATGCCACGGATGAAAAATGTTTTCTGCTTTTAACTCAGTGCTTCAACCACCTCCTCCTCCACCCTCCGATGTGTTCACACCAGACATTTTTGCCTCATATTTTACTGAAAAGCTTGCAACCATCAGTAACCAGTTTTCTAAGCCTGACCAACTCAGCCCAAAGGCACCAACCAAAAGTGCCTAACTCGACTCATTCTCCTCTCTGACTGAGGACAAAGTCTCTAAGCTTGTGCTAGACTCTCGGCCCACCACCTGTCCTCTATACCCAATACCATCAAGCCTCCTGCAGACCATTTCCTCTCCGCTTAATGCTGCACTTAAGCATATCATCAACTCCTCTCTGTCAACGGGTGTGTTCCCCACCGCATTCAAGCAAGCTCGGGTCACCCCTCTGCTCAAAAAACCCACACTCAACCCAGCCCAGGTTGAAAACTACAGACCGATTTCTCTTCTGCCGTTTCTGTCAAAAATACTTGAGCGCACAGTCTTTAATCAAGTCCCTAAGTTCCTGTCCAGAAACGATCTGTTTGACCCAAATCAGTCAGGCTTTAAGTGGAGCCACTCTACTGAGACTGCACTACTGTCAGTAACATAATCGGTACGAGCTGCGGGTCAGTCCTGCCTTTGACACAGTTAACCATCAAATCCTCCTATCCACGCTCTCTGAACTTGACATCTCAGGATCTGCCCTCTGCTGGTTTGTGTCCTACCTCTCCAGGCGATCTTTTAGAGTGTCTTGGAAGGGAGAAGTGTCCATAGGGGTATCCACAGGGGTACCCCAAGGGTCAGTGCTTGGTCCCCTTCTCTTCTCCATTTACACAAGCTCACTTGGTTCAATAATCTGCTCATACCACTGCTATGTTGACGATACCCAGCTCTTCCTGTCATTACCGCCAGAAAGTGTTACAGTCTCAGCAAGAATCTCGTCATGCCTTGCTTATATCTCTAAATGGATGACTGAAAGCCACCTTCAACTCAACCTTTCAAATACTGAGCTCCTTGTCATCCCAGCTAGTCCTTCTATACAACCACAGATCAATATCCAGCTTGGTACAACCAAACTCATGCCAACAAAGTCTGCCCAGAACCTGGGTGTCACGATTGATGACCAGCTAACATTTAAGGTTCAAGTGGCCTTGATTGCCCGGTCATGTCGATTTTCCCTGTATAACATCAGGAAGATCAGACCTTACCTGCCAGAACATGCTACACAGCTCCTGGTACAGGCTCTTGTGATAACACTCATTGACTATTACAACTCTCTTTCTAACTCTTTCTATACTGGTTAGAGCTCTGAAGAACTGCCGTCAATGTTGTGCAATGCCTGTCAGCACCTGTCCAATCAGACTTTAAGCTGATCTTTGCATTTACTGACATTGTTTCCTTTTTTCTAGATCCTACTTACTCGCTGATGTACATGTCGATTTGGATCAAAGCGTGAATTGTAGAAAAATGAAGCAAAGCAATACAGAGCTCCTCCCACTGGCAGCAGTATAGGTTATAAATTCTGCCTCCTAATGTTAACAAATGGTATTTGAGTCAAACCAGAAGATTAAAAAACACGCCAAATGATTTTTCTGAAGCATGGTTTCTGTCACTGTAGTTAGCTGTTATCAATTTGATTTAAAATGTTTGTTTTCATTTTCTGTTAAGTTTAGTTTTAAGTATTCAATTGATGGATAATCCCATGATTTACAAATATTTCGAAATGTGGCTCCTGCAGTACTGTGTGCTCTGGATTAACAGATTGGATGTACAGTTTCAAAAAGGGGCAACAGCTCGGCACAACTGAAATGAGTAGCATATTCAGAAACTATCCACATTCAAAAGCAAATGCAAACTTCCCAAACAACTGCATGAACTACAAATGCGCTGCAAGTACATAAACAGGGCAAAATCAATAACAGGTATTCAGAAAACAACTGCCTATAGATAAATGCTTAGAATATTTTCAGCAGAAGTGCCCCAGGCCTATAAGAGAACTCACTGGGACAGTTTATAATTGATGGGAGAGAGTTAGGGAGACCAATCACTGAAAGTTTTGTTTAGATTGGCGAGTTGCATTGTTGAACTACATGGAATGTTACGGTTCAATTCCACAATATCGCTTGTACCGTCATGGGCCTGTGATGGTGAAACAAAAGGTCTTCTGGGCAGAAAAGTGTTGTTCTGTTTCAGCCGCACTGGAGCAGAGCAAAGGGAAGTGGGAACTACAGAGATCCCCATCATCTCTTGGTGCCTCAATACAGAAAAAATGGCGGAAAACTACTATTATTTACGAGGGAGTACAGCGAGACGACTGGAAATTGTGGGCGTCCAGTGCCTTTTAAATCTGACGTGTTGAAGCATTTCCGTTTTCCCTTGTCAAGAAATAAGAAAGGAGAAGGTGACGATATGCAGACACTGCCAGACTGCATTATCTAATGTACATGTTGGGGAATACAAGTTATATGAGAAGCCCCTTGACAAATCGTCACCGTGAAAATACTTGGAAAAATGCAAGGAAAAATATCCAGCCATGCCAAAGAAGCGTTTGTATTTGCCTAATAGTCTTGATTGAGGGCCCCCTAGCAGGGGAATTTACATACTGTTCTTTCTGGGGATAGATCAGTGATGAGAAATTATCTAAATTAGGTCTGGAACAATGGCACCAGGATGAAATGACAAAGGGGGCTGGGGAGGAATGGTGAGGGGACAAACATATTTCTAATGAAAAACAATAGGTTGCCATTTTTTTCAACTTGACATTTGAAAGAAACTCAAGATTCTTGCGGCCTAATGAAAGAATAAATACTCAGAGAAGAAAGCCCTCATCCAAATGAGGCCTTATGTGCTCCTGATGATTTACCTAGTTGACAAGACATTGTTTATATATGTTCAGACTACCTGTGAAGGTCTTATCCATCTACATCATAGTTGTTCAAGGCAGAAAGTGTCTTGTGTGGAATCTTGGCAAGGCAATGGGCATCTGTGGTCGTCTGACATCATAACTGTGGCCATTGCATGAGTGGTCTGATTTCCATTAAGTGTCGCCTCATTTTGATCAAATATGTAAATAGCATCAATCATTCCATAGTCTGAGATACTGCTATCATTGTATGATATACACTGTGGCCCAGAGCATTTAGCTTGTTGATAAGTGCCTTGCTCCCAAATTCATGATGTATCATAATAATTGTGCAATGATGTCATTCATGGCATTCAGACAGCTATTACATGGAGGTTTTCCTTCAATGAAGGTTCCTCACCTGTTTGGACACTTCAATGTGCATTTTTATTCACACACCAATTCACAAAGTCATAGAGCATGTTGGGTACATAATCCTGACAAGAATGACAGGACAGATGTGCACTACTCCCATATAAGATGCAGTCTTGCTTTACCTCTTCCATGGTGTTCCTCTGTGTACCTCCTCAGAGAGGAGGTACACATATTACAAATAGTTCATCTAAACCCTGTGCCAGGGACACAAACAGCATACATATCATTATACATCATCAATGAGT